TTAATTTTAATTTCAATTCAGGTTAGATTTTTTTGTGTGCAACACAGATTTTCTGCAGTGCGCAATTGTGCACGCACGCAGCTTAGTAGGAACATTGGTTGCAATACTATACTGCTATGGTACACATTAGGCTGACATCTGGGGGCTGCTGCCTCTATACACATAATGCATTATTAGTACTGTATGCTGCTCAGTAACATTTAATATTTATTATTTACTGTTACTTTTGCATATGTTGGTTGTTGCTGGGATTTCCCTGCTGTTGTTTTTTTTTGCTCATTTTTTTCAGCAGGTGTTGAGGCAGATTTTCAGTGTCTTTTCTCTCTATATCTCTCCTCTCCTTCTGTTTACTGTCTTCCAAACTTCTCTTTCCTTTTTCTTTCTCTTTCCTCTCCCCCTGTCCTATCTGTTCTGATTGTAATAATTCATATTTAAAAAAATCCTTTATTTTATCTTTCTATCTATAAAAACTATTACTATCAAGTGGACCAGGACAACAAAAGCGGAACTTGGTCAACTTGGGAACATAAATCTGCTGGGCTTTTTCTTGGGCTTCAGACAATAATTCTGATTGCCGGACAGGACAGGCAAGGACAAAAAGAAAAGAGAGTAAACATGAATGTCCTTCCTCTGTGGTTCTTTTGCTGTCTGCAGGAAGAACAATGGGGCTTAGTTGTCTTGTGCTGAATATTTTAGATGTTCAGGTAACTTTCAGTCTCAATAACTGTTCTAAGTATTGATATTATTCCTCTACATTTATGTATGTATATGTATGCTGTATGTATTCATTACTTTTTCTAAAACTCTCCTGCTCAAACCTGATGGAGTGCAATAACAAAAAAGGGCACAAGAGTTAAAATGCTCATACAAACATTTTTACAAGGCATGTTTACAGCCTGTTAAAATAATAATAATAACAATAATATTAATAATAGTGACCATTTGGAAAACATCACCATTATTAAGCACCAGTCTAGCTTGTTCTGCTCTTTAGCAGTTTGTGGTCTGTCCACCGTAGGCTGCCATTATCACAGCTCATGATCTCAGCAGCAGTCTCTGCAGATGGGTATCTGGTTAGCGCTTGCAGGTTATGTTTTCAGTAATATTTTCCACTGAACCCTGTTATTATCTTTGAGTTAGCACGCAAAAAGACCACAGTTCTCTCTGCTAGAAACTGATTGCAATCGCAGCAATGCGCATGCAAGTGTGGGGGCTGGGTGAGGAGTTTACAGATGAAAAGCTTTTTGTCTCTGCTTGTTGCCACAAATAAATTAATTTCTAAATCGGGTTATTTGTCTTTATACTGTGACACTGATATCTGTATTTGTAATTGTCATACTTTGTAAATCCAAATTTTCAACAAGGTTTACATATATACACAAAAACACATCATATGTTTATACATATATAAAAGTGACAAAGGGCAGCGCTAAGTGGCAAAATTCACCAGTGATATAATGATATAAGAACAAACCGTCAATGAAATAAAAATTACTGACAGCAATGAAATGGTTAAATGTACAGTTCTGAAAAAGACATAACAAGGTTTCCAGTTGTTACGAAATAAATAAGAGTAACAACTTGGACTTAAATATTCTGCACTGTGACAAAATCAAGGCTATAATGCAGTGACATTCCCACATTTCAGTGTCTTCTGCTATAATAGCACATGCACACAAGGGTCATCCCCACAGCAAACACTACAGTTGTTCTATCCCTTTGTTCTTGGATTATATTGAACAACCTTTCTTTGTGTGTAATTGCTCTCACGGTTAGAAAAGGGAGACAAAAGGCACATGACCTCCTAAAATAGAATAAAAATAAAAATACATGAGCATAATATTTACATGATCATGAATTATTCCATTCATATGAGTAACATGTGAAGCCCATCGAACTGCCTAATCTAATTGTGTCGAACACAGCAAAAAGGTAAAATGAAGATTCAAATGTGATGCACAAAATTTTAAATGACAGTTGCAGAGATGTGTTAAAAGGCTTGTTCAACACCATGTGGGGTCTGTTTCTGTTGAAAGGACAACAGATTCTTCATCAGAGCTCGTGTTATTTCTACACTTCACCACAGTGTAATCAGCATGCTGCTCTTCTCTGGGCTGAAGTGGCTCTATGGTGGAAAAAAGAGGATCTGTGTGGTTTTTGAAGAAGTAGACTTTGCTGTAGAGGACTTCATCCTCCACCTGTGGCTCACTTAAGACGTCTTCACACACAGGATCAGGATTTAGCTGAGAACAAAAAGCGATACATCATAATACACTTAAAGATTTGACTCCTTTGACTCTGTAAGAAAGATCATTCAGTATGAAAATGTGTTTTCCAACTCTACAGTAATCTTTACCTCCACTATGTTGTTTGATGTTTCGTTTGTGGAAGACTGACTCATAGTCCTCTTTTTTCTGATTATTGAAAGTAATAAACAGGAAAAAATAAGTGAGTTCATGCCAGAGATTAAATGTTGTCACTTTGAATCAAACACCGTGTTGCTTACCTAATCAAAAAGAAGAAAAAGAGAAGTATTGAAACCAGAACTATTACAGAAACTCCTCGTGTCCTTCCTGTGATACTTTGGACAGTGAGAGTCTTTGGAGCAGAGCTGATATCTTTGTTGCTTTTCACAGCACAGGAGTAGCTTCCTGCATCCTCCCTGCTGACTGGGTCTAGGATCAGATGTTTGTTCTGGTTCTCTCTCGGGGTCAGAGGTCGACTGTTCAAGTACCAAATGTAGTTTGTGTTGTCAGTCAGAGGACAGCTGGTACTGCAGGTCAGTGTGACTCTCTGACCCTCTGTCACTACTGCAGAAGGACTCATCTTCACTCTCAGCTCTGAAAGACGAAAATTTAACAACAACAACAACAATAATAATAATAGTAATAATAATAGTATTAAGGCAAGACATGAAACTCTTCCAAATCGCAACATGAATTACTCACAAAACATGAGTTTTAATTGAGACCTGACTGCAGGCAGACCCTCCAGTCCTCATATTCAGTTAAATAATAAAACATTTATTTGACTTTGAGTAGTTTTCAGTTTAAATATTACATTTTCTTAGGTTAGGGTGTCATTCTAAATGTGTGTTTAAGATTTCGTTGTTAGATATTCTCAGGTTTTTCCTGTCCTCCTATGTCTGTGTTTCTGTTGTTGCCTATATTTACTCAGTTTTATCGTTGTGTTTACTTTGGCCTGTTAAATTTGTGTTTCAGTCTCAGTGTTACTTTCCTGTTTTATTTTGTTAGTCTCTTGTGTTGTGTTCAGTTTTGCTTCCCTTGTCATTAGTCTGACTTATTTCACATGTGCCTTGTTTTTCCCTGCTTCCCAGTGTTGCTTGTCACGTTGCTGGTTCCTCATGTTGAGTGTGTGTCTGTCTGTTAGTGAGTGTTTGTGTCTCTGCCTGCCATGCAACCAGCCCATGATACCTTATCCATTGGGACTGTGAAACACTATTGCATTTGAGGCATTTGGCCATCATTCTGGTACAAATTAATCTTGATTCATTTGTCCAAATATTTCATTTTTCCAGAACATTTTTGTAAATAAACATGAAATACTTGAAATAAACTCCGGATCTTTCTTTGCTTAATGTATCTTGCTATCAGATATCCAGTTCCCTTTTGAGCTTCTGAAAATGGGGGACTGTATAAATATGATTGTATTTCCTGAAATGTTTAAGTAATTCTTTTATTAAAATGCCTCAATTGAAGATGAAAGTTGTTACAAAAATTATTTCTTTGTCGAAAAACTCATTTGTATATAATTTTAAAACTATTATATTAAATCAAGCAAAATACCAGTTTTTACTTTTGCTATTTTAACTATAGTTATTTTTCATAGCATTTACATGCTTTTAATTAAGAACAAACTTTTCATTGTAAGGGAATATTTTAACATTGTTATATAACCGAGAAAGATCTGAATAGTTCTAGCGCTACTGCTCATATTGAAATATTAATGAGTAAAGTCTGCTGACTGAGGAGTTTAGATTTACCTGTGACAATCAAAAAGACTCCAGGCAGATCAGACTGTGTCCATCCTTTATGGTCTTTCTTGAATCTGAATGTGTATCCTCCTGAGTCATTCTTCTTCAGGTTTTTGATGGTCAGGACGTGTTGGTTCTTCATGTTGTCCTGATACTCCACACCACCTGCAGCCTCAATCAGCTCTTCAACTTCCACTTTATCTTTTCTCCATTTTTTACTCCAATATTTAAACTCTGGCTTCATGTTATCAGGATGTGAGTATTCACTTGTGATGTTGACTGAAGATCCTTCCAGAGCACAGATTCTCCTGCTGACATAATTCACTCTCCAGCAGTTTTTATCCTGAACACCTGAAATATAGATGGAAGATTTAACCTTGTTTGATTGGTCTGTGTTTCATTATTAGTTGAAAAAAAAAAACAGATTTGACACTTACAAACTTTTTTAGATTGAAGATGTGTGTGACCTTTAACTGCACAAGAGAATGTGTCTGTTGAAGAGTTATGAATTGAATAATGTTGATTCTCATAATAGTTTATTTTGTTGTGATACCACATGTAGACAGCTTGATGGTCAGTCAGATTACAGCTGTTGTTACAGGTCAGTGTGACAAATGCCAAGGTGGAAGAAGCTCTTTGAACATAAACCTCTGTCGATCGAAGATAAATACACTTCTTGTCACTATTTAGATATAATCATACGGCTCATTTAAGTCACATAATTGTGCAGTTTAAACGAATATGATATAAAGGTTTGGAGAAGTGTTTATACAATTTGTTTGTGGAAACTTCACCTCTAGGGTAGGTGATGGTGCATGGCTCATCCACTGATGTCTGATAACACATGTTTCCATAAGCATAAGTGACACTGAAGCATGTCTGTGTGATGGAATCTGGACAAAAAGACATGAGGTTAAATATTTGTACTGAGACTATTTTACAGGGGTTTGCTTAACGTTTTATAGAACAATAAACATCATGACTCACCCACAGAGACTTCAGGGGCTCTGAGATGCTCGTAGCCTTTGACAGCACAGGAGTATGTGACTGCTTCCTCACTGCTGAGCAGCTCTTGGTACCAGGGAGACCAGTCCTCATAGAGAAACTCTCTGTTCTTGTACCAGATGTAGGCTGCAGGCTTTTCAGTCAGAGGACAGCTGCTGCTGCACATCAGTGTTACTGTCTGTCCCTCTGTGGCAGGAATCACCTTTACCTGCAGCTCTGAGAGGATGATGGAGAACAACTTATACAATGATGTCATTTGGAAAGTAAGTAATAAGTAAAAGTCACTGTACCTGCAACAACCTGAAGAGTAATTCTGTTGAGCCAACAGTGTCCTGGACTGTCTGTAGTCTTCATACAGCAGTAAGCGTTTTCATCACTCTCTCTTAGATCATTGATGGTTAAAGTTGGGTTTTTCTCTTCAGACATGTTGTGTGTTACATGTTGTCCATCCACAGAGAGCTCACTCTGAACATACTTGTAACCATCCCAGTCTATAGTGAACCATTTTCTGCTTGAAGTCAGATGTTGATGTGAGCAGTGCAGATCCACTGATGAACCTTTGAAAGCACAGATTCTGGTTTCTCCTCCATTAACACCTTTAACAGAAGGGAGTTAATAAATGTTTTTATCTTATTAATATGTCTTTGTTTATAATCACTTAATAATTTTCAGTACTTTACATTAGGAGCTAATCTAAACTAAAATTCCTCATCTGTAAATATTACAAGACCTTTTTCTTAAGTTAATATTAACTAACGATTTTTACATAAGAACTCATAAATAATTTCAGATACCTGAAATGTAAAAGCTGAGACCCACAAGCAGACAACCAGCATCTCTCAACTCCATTGTTGTTTTAGTCCAGACTTTGAGCATAAAGCTGACAGTAAAAGCTCAAACCAAAAGATACAAAGTGAGTCATCAGACAAACTAATCAGTACTCTTTATCAGAGTGAGGGGTGGGCTGCTGGTTCATATTCTTTGGTTTCACATATCTTGCATCTTTGAAACTAAAAGTAAACTTGCTTCCTCTTCCTTTGAATCGTTTGCATCCTTAAATGCTTTGTTGTAGCATGAATATTATATTAATCTACATCAGTTCAATTCCTCAATAATGATGCTTTTAATTTATTTACTTGCTGCATGCAGTTGTGTTTTGAATGCATTAAATATTCAGTTTATTAAATATATTGAAGTTGTTGAACAGAAAGGTGTGGAGGTGTTAAACTGCTGAGCATATCTCAGTATGACAATTTGTAATAAACACAGCTGGAGCGATTCAGACTTTAATCTACTGCGACTATATTTTGTTTTAAAAAATATGAAACAATGAGCTATGGGGAACAATTGATTTAAAATATCTGAAATGTGTTTGAACTCTCAGACTGAATTGTATTTTCCATTTCTATAAACATTTATTTATAAAGTACTTTTAACAGAAACTCATTTTCACTTTCCTATCGTTAATCACACAATAATATTCTGTAACTAATTGGACCTGAAAGTCGTGATCTATGAATCATACAGTATTAACTCATCCTGTCGTTCATAAGTAAAGTTACTTCTGTTCTTATATCAGGATTCATGTATATTATATGTACATATATATATATATATATATTTATATATATAATATATATATATACACACATATACATATATATATCTATACAGCAATGACATTGGAATGTCATTCGGACTGGAGAAGTGTAGTCGGATGGTAACAAAGAGAGGGAAGGTAGTCAGAACTGAGGGGTTTGAACTACCAGAAGGCAACATTGCAGACATAGAGGACAGTTACAAGTACCTGGGGATCCCGCAGGCGAATGGGAACCATGAAGAGGCCGCTAGAAAAGCTGCAACCACCAAGTACCTGCAGAGGGTCAGGCAAGTCCTGAGGAGTCAGCTGAATGGTAAGAACAAGATCCGGGCCATCAACACGTACGCCCTGCCCGTGATCAGGTACCCTGCTGGGGTAATAGGCTGGCCAAAGGAGGAGATAGAAGCCACTGACATAAAGACAAGAAAGCTCCTTACCATGCATGGAGGGTTTCACCCCAAGTCCAGCACCCTGAGGCTGTACGCTAAGCGGAAGGAAGGGGGCCGGGGACTGGTGAGTGTCAGCACCACAGTCCAGGATGAGACAACGAACATCCAAGAATACATTGGGAAGATGGCCCCAACTGACCGAGTGCTCAGTGAATACCTCAGGCAGCAGAAACCCAAGAAAGAGGAGGGAGACGAGGAACCATCATGGAAGGACAGGCCCCTGCACGGTATGTACCACCGGCAGATAGAGGAGGTGGCTGATATCCAGAAATCCTACCAGTGGCTGGACAAAGCTGGACTGAAAGACAGCACAGAGGCACTAATCATGGCAGCACAAGAACAAGCTCTGAGTACAAGATCCATAGAGGCTGGGGTCTATCACACCAGGCAAGACCCCAGGTGCAGGCTGTGTAAAGATGCCCCAGAGACAATCCAGCACATAACAGCAGGGTGCAAGATGCTAGCAGGCAAGGCATACATGGAACGCCATAACCAAGTGGCCGGCATAGTGTACAGGAACATCTGTGCCGAGTATAACCTGGAAGTCCCGAGGTCAAAATGGGAGATGCCCCCAAGGGTGGTGGAGAATGACCGAGCTAAGATCCTGTGGGACTTCCAGATACAGACGGACAAAATGGTGGTGGCTAACCAACCGGACATAGTGGTGGTAGACAAACAGAAGAAGACGGCCGTAGTGATCGATGTAGCGGTTCCGAATGACAGCAATATCAGGAAGAAGGAACACGAGATCGGAGCACTAGGTGCGGTGACTCCCAAGCTAGGCGAGTGGCTCCAGCAGATCCCGGGAACAACATCGGAGATCTCTGTCCAGAAGAGCGCAGTCCTGGGAACAGCTAAGATACTGCGCAGGACCCTCAAGCTCCCAGGCCTCTGGTAGAGGACCCGAGCTTGAAGGATAAACCGCCCGCAGGGGCGTGCTGGGTGTTTTTTTTATATATATATAATATATATATATATGATATATATATTACTATATATAAATAAGTTTATATACACACCAATTTTTCTAGTTATTCATTGCAATTCAAAAGTCCAATGAAGAGCATAAAAAAAAGTTAATTCTTTTTCATTTGATTATGTAGCCTGTCTCTAGTTACTTTCTTTAAGGGTAACCATATGCAACCAGTTGTTTGAGTTGTCTGATTGAATTGTATTCTGGCTTTGAAGAGGTGATATTAATCCTGATATAAGAACATGTTATTGTTGCAGCCCTGTAGTGGTTTAACTTGTCACTTGTCCTGTCGTATTCTTGTTCTTTTAATGTCACTGCTAAGTGTGGCTCCACAGTCAAAACGTCTGCCAGTCTTTAGCCTTTTTTAGCCGCACCCAGAAGGAAAAATAGGATTTCAACCATAGAGGTAAACACTGGTGACAAGAATTTTGTTTTAAATTCACTCTGTTTTTGTTTTTTTTTCTTTGGTCTTACTGTGCTGCATGAAACACTATCAGATATAAATAATTAACATATAAAAGTCATATATATCATGTATTACTTTTATAAAATAAGTACTTTACTTGTTGCTGTGTCAACTTTAACATAAATCCAGACAATTTTGGGTGACTTCTTGAAGTTGGTTAGCAGTTCAGGCCATGTCCACCAGAGGACACCATTATAACTCTTCATCTCAGCAACATTTCTATTGTTCTCTGCCTACTTCTTTTCAAGTTCACAGACAAGATAAGTGAGGTATAAATATCTGTAGTTATTTCATTATCTTATGTTGCAGGTTTTAAAAAAATGGTTGATCTTTATTTTTGTTTAAATAATTGGGCCCCACAACGTAAAAGGACCCAATTTTACTTGTATTTGTTTTCTGTCATTTGCATACAGTTACAGTGGGGGATGCCCAAAGTTTGAAAAAATAAATTTAACATATATACGAATGATCCTTGTAAGCCAAACGCTCAGGCTTCAGACTTTATTGCCTTTGTTTTTCTTTTCTTCATTAAGGTTATCAGTTTCACTTCTCGAACAAATCATAACAATTTGAATTTTTACAGGTAATTTTTAACAAATCATGGTCTACTTTTAAGTAGTCAGAGCCTTCAGTGAATTTTACAGTAAAACATAAATAACAGCTTCAATACTTCATATGCATTGTGTATGTATATTGTTCTATGCAGTATCTTCCATTACTGCTCCTAGAACTGCATGCTTCTGTACAGAGACCCTTGATGTTCTGCCTGGAATCTGCTGAAGCCACTCATCCTGATTTGGGGTGGCAGCTCCTCATGCTTCTATTACTACTAAGACAATTTGAACTTTACCTCAAGTTGGTCCTTCAGCCCCTGGTACTCCTTGATTTCATTGTGTTTCTCATTTCTGATCTTGCTGTTAGCTAGAATTGACACATTTATCCAACTATGGTCCTCTCGTCGTTGCAAACAACAACTTGGTCTGGTTAGTTATATATTATATATATCATATTATTATATTATGTTATATATATTCTGTATAATTTTGTCTTTATATGACCCTACACCCTCCTGAGAACCAGCTGTGGTGTGTGGCGAGAATAAGGCACGGCGGGACCACGGAGTATCATTCGGATATGTACATCTCAACACAACACACCCTAACCCCTGAATCCCCGTGTTTTAACTAGGCGGGCGTGATTAAGGATGCCGTGCAGGTGCGTCCGCCCTCCCTTCACGGCACCGCAGACAACGCCCCACCACACAAGCCTATTCATTTATGGCCTCTGTAATGGACATTTGTTTTTAGTCACATTCACAATATATGGAAACACAAGTCCATTTTATTTATAAAAAAATGTGTGAAAACAGAATGACAAGTTGCTAATACAATGACATGAGTGACATGTGTGATCACTCCAGCTTTACATGTTCTCTCCTCTGCCTGTTCCTGTAAAAATAGCAAAAATTTAAAAAAAAACAAAAAAAACCCCTGACCCTAAGAGCAATCATGTGTCCCGTTGGTGCCATTCTAGATTGCTGGTCAGAAAGATTTCTGGTGCCAGTAATCAAAGAGACAATGCCCCGAGATAGATTCATTTTAATTATGCAACACCTTCAATTTGATGACAAGGACACGCGGGCAGAACGGGTGAAAACAGATAAATTTGAGGCAATCTCTGACATCTGGACACGCTTCAATGAGAACTGTGCTAAGAGTTTCATTCCAGGAGAACACATGACCATAGATGAACAGCTTTTCCCTACCAAGGTTCGGTGTCCATTCACACAGTATATCGCAACCAAGCCAGACAAATTTGGGATCAAGTTCTGGATGGCCACGGATCTGGAGACCAAATATGTCTGCAGTGCATCTACTTGGGAAAGGACCCCAGTCGTCAGAAGGGAGAGAGGCTGGCAGAGAACGTGGTCATGAAACTAGTGGAGCTGTTTTTGGATGATGGGAGAAACGTCACAACGGACAATTCCTTCACTTCACTGTCGCTGTCGCACAGACTACTGCAGCGCAAAACAACGTTACTTGTGCCAAGTAACGTTGTTTTGTGGACTTTATTCACCGGCGCGGTGAATAAAGTCCGCCGTGAACTTCCTCAAATTGCAAAAGACACTGCACAGCGAGAGGAATTCTCCACTTCAGTGCTTAGAAGTGTCAGTGTCTCCTTCACAATTTATGGACCTAAAAAAACCAAGACTGTGTGTGTTCTTAGTTCCATGCACTAAGATGTGACGATCAGTGACGGCAGAAAGAGGAAACCCAAAGCAATAAGAAACTATAACCACATGAAGGTATGCGAATGTGTGTATAATTTTACACCAGTGCTACAATGTTTTCTGATGTGTGCTATACAGGCCTATAGAAAAAACATATACTCATGACTCTCTCTCTCTGCTTTTACAGTGTGGTGTAGACGTGTTGGACCAAATGGCACGCATGTGTTCTGTAAGAGCAGCAACACGCAGGTGACCAGTAGCGGTTTTCTACAATATGCTGAACCTGGCGGTGGTGAATGCCTACATTTTGTATAAGGCATGCACAGGGCGGACAGGCAAAAGAAGATTGTTTCTGAGTCTTCTAGCTAAGGAACTTTGTTG